TGGCAATAGCATCTACATTAAATAAAACTGGACATTTACTGACTGCTGACAGCATTCAGAAAGAAAGGGAGCATTTACTCTCAAGTTAGGGAGCGTGTTGTTTGAGCAAGTAGTTGAGTAACTGTTGATTATGGACCTTTTTTTCCTTTCAGTCTTCTTGAAAATGATTGGCACTGTCTGCGGTTGCAGAGGGACTGCTGAACCCAGATTAGCATCTGGCTCAGTGTAATGAATTCCTCTTCTGGAAAATACAGGGGATGAAATACCGGCTCTACTGAAGGCAGCAGACTACAGCCAGAATTTTCGCCATCTGTGTTTTCCAGGAGCAGGGGAGTTATTGCTCTTCCAGGCACTGCGCTGCTTTTTCAGAGATGAAGACAATGGGCCACAAATCTCAGCAATGCTTAAGCTGGGAATAGTCTGAATGGAACGAATTTGCATTAAGTAGATTTTTCATTCACATTCCTACCGTTGCTTTGGTCTTTTGGTGAGGGAGAGACAAAAGGGAAGGAGAAAATAGGGCCGGAGTTGCTCCCCCTCCATGCCCCCATTGGCATTGTCCTAGCACCAAATCTGGTGGTACCACCTATGATTTTTATTGTATGCGTGTGAGGAATCACACGATTGCTCACGTGTTCTCCTGCCTGTTTTTAGAGAACATTCCAAGTGGAAAATCATCCTCCCAGATTGAATTTATGAACCCACATTCCTGTTTGATCAGAAATATTCTCCTTCAGCGTCCTAAAATCGATCATAATATATTTGTGCTGCCTTCAAATGATTAATGTACATACAAACATGTAAAAATTATCTTTAATATCAGAACCCCAAAGTATCATTTATCATTACATTCATTCGCTAAGTGATGGAGTAATATCTCCATCTGAATGAATGCCTTGCAACATGTGTGTGAAGAATGGGTGCTCTTTTCTCATCAGAATTCTAACTAATTTTCATTATAATAGATCATCCTGCTTTGTCATGTTGATTGAAGTGACTGGGAATTAGAAATCATTATGAGAAAAATGTATCTTTTTTTTTTTTAATTTAACTTTGAAAAGTAGTTTTAAAGGTGTTTCTAATTTAAATAGACTGAATTAGCTTTTGTGGTGCAATGCATTTGAAAACTATGATAAATGTTGGAGAAACGAGGAACTGGGCTGCTATGTGAGAGTGGAAAAGAAAAGCTCTTCAGCAGAGTATTCCTGGGAGTGTGGTGCTACGAGAAGGTATGCCAGCACTCCGGTCCTCTTACTGCACTTCTAACCAGCTCTCAGAGTTAATTTAATTAAGGCTTATATTTAGAACATTTTATAATACATCATTAATGTTTTGTGGTTGTCTTTGGGTAAAGCAGAAGGGTCCTCCTACACAGCGGAGACTTCTAGGCGGTACGAATTGCAAATAATGATGGAATGAGAAAATTACTCTTCAGACAAAATTACGACCTAGGTTAAAGTTATATATCATAAAACCATACCATGTATGATCAAATGAGGATTTTAGCGCTGTTTAAAGCGACCTGGAAAATGAACTGTGAGTTCATTGCTGCTGAGTAACGAAACCATCTGAAGTAAAGCTTATTTAACCTTAATAAAGGACCTGCCCACAACAGAACAGACAGTTGCCCAAAAAGTAAGCAGTACTAATAAGGGGTTTAAAAGAATGTGGAATTGAACTTCATGTTAGAAATTGCAGGGCTTTTGTCTTCCATTCACATTCTCACGTGTTCCATAGGTTGCTGATGTACCGACTGTGCAAGTGCTAGTTGTGCAGGGTGAGGAAATGGCAGCGGCTCTGACAAAATGAGGAGGTTCACATCTCTCTTCCAGTCTGTACGAAAGAATTGGCTTAATTTGCAGGTCTGTTGGTAAAGATTTCTAATGAGGCGTGAATTCAGGGCCCGTACATTCTTCTTGAAGAGTAACTGATGTAGAACATGTGTCCCAAAAGGGAAGAGGTGATCCTTAGACCAATTAGTCTGATTCCAACACTGTGCCCTTTCTAGGGAGATTTTGAAGGCTAGGCTAATTAAGATGGAGGAAAATGGAAAGAAGGCTAAACTGTACAGTGACTTTTGACAGTGGTTTACATCTAGGTCTCTTGATGAAGCAATTGATGGCTTAGAGCTGCATAATATGATGGGCATGCTGGAGGACAGACTTTTGATATGCTAGCCTGTTAGATTATAAAAGGTCAAAAGAATGGAAATTCAAATGTGACTGTTGAATTTGATAAGAATCTGAGATAATTATGAAAATGTAATGGTTCGTATTGAGAGGGAAATTGCAGAATGGAGAGATGCCTCAGAAACAAGGCAGAGGGAAGGTAATGGTTAACATCCCCACCACATGTTTTGGTGTAAAAATGAAGAACACGTCTATGATGTTTGCAAGCGTGACAAGTTTGGAAAACCTTGCAACTCTTGCTGAAGCCTCCATGGTCTCATAGGAAGAATGAAAGGACGCTACAGAATGAGCAGCGGTGAAGCTCTCTAGCGCAGTGTGTGTAGTCATGCAGGTGCGTGGTACACATACATACAATACAATACATATCCTTGGTATTGAGACAGCAATTGGTCATTTTACAGAGAAAACAAGTCTGGTATGGGTTGATTATGAGATGACAGTCTGCTGAAGTGCAGAGAACTGAAGTGATTAGGAAGAGAGAACTAACTGCATTGGGAAGCTATTTGCAGGAGACTCAGAAGGAATTCTGTGGTATTAACTTGGATATCTGTGATCAAATACTCAGTGACAACAGAAGCTGTGATTTGTTATCTCTGTTGGTCTGAGGGTGGTGTGGTGGTGGATACCACTCGAAGCAAAGGAGCTTCGCACTGAGTTTGAGGAGAAAGTATTTCACTGTGAAGATGAGCAATTCCACAACGAGTTGCCCAAGAGGTTGTGCAGTGTCTGTCCGTGAGGATTGGTGGAATATGAGTGGAAAAAAAATCCCTGAATAAGCCTCTCTGTCCTTGTAGCTGACCCTGCTCTGATGGGATTCCTGCCTACTGCAGTGATTGTGAGTCTTTAACGGGAGCAGAGTTAGCATGGCTGTGGGAATGAGAAGTAACCAAAGATCGTAGCTTCCTTACTGAGCAGAGGGAAGGCTGAAAGAAGCCAAGGTTTTTGTTCATCTGTAGAGGGAGGGAGTGATGGGTAAATATCAAATATCAAAGATGCAAAATAATTAATATTAAAAGAAGGTCAGGATCAAAGGACTTGAAGTTGGTTATAAATACATGAGGAGTAGAAATGAGAAACTTTCTTCTCTGAGAAGTGAAGCTGTGGGAGGAGGCTCCAAAGAGTTCTCCAAGAGGGGGAAAGTGTGTCACGTTTGGAGGTGAACCTGTGTGAGAGAGCAGTTACATGCCGAAGCAGAAGTGATCCAGATGTTGGAAATGCAGTGTATTAGCACTCTGTGCAGATATTCTCAAATCTGTTTTATTGTGTCCTCTCCTCATATCCCGCCAGCTGTGTACATTTGATGTAGGTTGCTCCAAAATTAATCTCAGATAAATCTCCTGTGTGGCTGGCTTTGATTGCAGAGCCCTGCAGTTAGTGCCTTTGGTCTGGTTCAGATTCATTTTTTCTATGGGAAATATAGATACTAAAGTTGCATGAAAAGTATGTATTGAAATGTGAACTTAAGTGGGTGATAATAATGAAGAGTTTTACTGTCCAAGCAAAAAATACTATTCATTCAGATGGGAAAATTATGAATATTGACTTGAGATGTTTCTCCCACAGCGGAGGTTAGTGAATGTGGACAAGTGTAGGGGAGAAAGCACAAGGTTTGAGCAGAATGTAACTGATAGGCCATAGATCATAAAGTACTTTTCTAGGGATTGAAGGGAACAGAGAGGGGTTTCTTGCCTGTCCCTTTTCTTCGCCTTCACATTGAGGAACCAGGCAATATATTTTTTTCTACACGTAGATGTTTTAATACCAGCTTCCCTGGTCCGTGTGGTTGTGCTTGGATGCTGTAATTCACGCATCTCGGTCCCACTTTCCATCTCCTGCACTCAGGGCGTGCAGTGCGGTGGCTTGAAAGGAAAAGGCATAAAATCTGCTTGAAGCAGGGAGGGAGAAGGAAAGGTAAAACGTCAGTATTTATGACAGGCTGTTTCTTTGGCAATATTAATCTTAAGCGTGAGGTACAGTTAACCAAAAAACCTATCTAGGGACTGTTGCTGCAATCAGGCTGCCGAGGGGCTGCAGCTGGTTGTGATTCTCCTCATGCTGGCCACTGTCTTTACCAGCACACAGGCACCTGAAATGAAGGCTGAGCCTTTTGGAGATCTCAAGTCTTCCTTTTGGAGGTTCTGCTGGATATCCTATATGGGAGATTGGTGTGGGGGTGGAGGTGTTCTGTGCACAGAACTGCAGCTGTGTAGCTTTGTCTTGGGAAGAGAATCGGCCCTCAACCATACTCACCTGTATAAGGTCAAGATTTTCTTATGAATAAATGCAGTTTTACCTCATGGTGCTGTAATTAAGGCTTCTGGGAGCTCAGATCTTCGAAGACATATCATTTTTTTCCGTTGAAATTCAGTGAGATTTGGCCCTCTAATGCCCTTAGGCTTCGTTCTGTGTCCTGGTTAATTAGAAGTCATGGTGACCTGTTCACAATTGGTGAAGTTGTACAAAATATTTTTTCAGCTTAGATTCTTAACTAAGCGCTAATTTTGATAGAAGAAGCCTAAAAATATAGAGGGGAAAAAAACAGCTCATAAGTACTCCAGTAGGTGGTAAATTAAGATGTTGCTTGTGAACTTCAGTGCAAGTCATACACGAAGTCAGCTTTTCCACAGCATCGTTTGTTCTTTGTCGCCACATCCCAGTGCGTTTAAGATTTTTAGAGTTGGAAAGCAGCTTATTTTTTTTCTTTTTCTAAAGAGAAATAATATTGATGAATCTTCACTTGGGCTTCAAAGCTTGGACGTCACCTTCAGTAATTTTTCTCACTTCTCTAACTTCTGCCTTTCCTATTGGCAGGCCTTCCCAGGTTCACCAGCCAGCCGGAGCTGTCGTCTGTCTATAAAGGAAACAGTGCAATCCTGAACTGCGAGGTGAACGTTGACCTCGCGCCCTTTGTGAGGTGGGAGCAGGAGCGGCAGCCCCTGGTCCTGGATGAGCGCGTCTTCAAGCTGCCGAGCGGGGCGCTGCTTGTTGGTAACGCGACTGAGGCAGATGGAGGATTCTACCGCTGCGCCATTGAAAGTGGAGGCACCCCCAAATACAGCGAGGAGGCAGAGCTCAAAATTCTTCCTGGTATTCATCTGTTCTGTGCTTGTTGGTTTTTTTTTTGGTTTGTTTTTAAATAAGTAAAAATTAGTTTTACCAGTAGGAAAAACAACCAAACTTGCATTACAAAAGAATACTTACAGAAAGGAGCAAGTGAGAATCTTCTATGTTACATTTTCATATGTTTAAAGTCAGAATTGCCATAAGGTGCAATATGGAAGCTTTTGTTTCAAATAGCTTAAAATGTTTGCAGGCACTTAAACTGCAGCTTTTTGGCCCTCGAGAATCATAGTAATGTAGAATCATAGAATGGCTTGGGTTGGAAAAGACCTCAAGGATCATGAAGCTCCAACCCCCTGCTGCAGGTAGAGCCACCAAACTTTCCATATAATACCAGGCTGCCCAGGGCCCCCTCCAGGCTCCCTTGAACACCTGCAGGGATGGGCCATCCAAAACCTCTCTGGGCAGCCTGTTTCCAGCACCTCAGCATCTCACAGTAAAAGAAGACTAACCTATATAATGCTGCTGGAAAATAGAAAAGCAAAATCAGTAATCAGTGTCTAAGCTCATTGCAGTGGTTTGGAATGGGTCAGACATGCAGATATTTCTGCTGTATTTCATAGCTGCATGTTCCACTGTTGACAGGTTCCAAAACAGGATTTGAGCCTTAGCATGTAAGTGATGAGGATTTATAGGTTTCTGAGGCTTCAATCCCTTCTTTAAAATACTGTTGAATTTTCCAGAAGAAATTGTTGTTTAGTCCCTTGCTCTCTGGGTGCTTAGCTGGAGCACTTTTAATGATTTGGGAAATTCTGATTCTTAAAATTTTAGAGCCGTTTGGGAAGTTTCCAGATCCCAAAAAAGGGAGGACCATGAATGCCAGTGTTTTGTTACATTTAGCTATTGTTACTTGCCTGTTGCTTTGAAATGTTTGTTGTTTTTTTTTTTTATTGTTTTGTTTTAATAAGAACAAAAGTGCATTTCTAAAACTACAACACTCAGTGCATTCTTTTCCTAGTGACAGCATTGCACTATTGTGTAGGGCTGTGTATTACCAGATGCTCTAATGCAGAGTTTGGAAACTTGACCAAGAATAAGATGTGAATGGGAATCGCATTTGCCCAAACTAGGGAAACGTGGGTTGTATTTTGCATGGGTTTTCTTAATAATTTCCAGAGCTTTGTGTTGTCTCTGCTGATTTAGTCTTCCTGTTGGGATTCTGATGCAATTTTTGCTGGTTGAGGACTTTAAGAGAGAGTTGCTAAATTTTCCATCTTTGGAGATTTTCAGGGCTAGCCTTGGCAGCAGTGTGATTCACCTGACATAGCGTTGGCAGCAGAGAACTTGGAAGCAGGTGTTGTACTAAGCATCTTCAGAGGTCCCTTGCAATTAATATTTCTGTTTCTTACAACAGTGTAATTTTTTTTTTTTTTTTTAATTTAGAGTGCTAAAAGGTACTTAAAAATACCCCAATTATACAATTGCAACTGTTTCCATTTTAAAGTATAGGCATCTGCTGGGCTTAGGCAATAAATTATGTTTCAAGGAGGAACTAGTTTCATAAAGTTCTTCATTTCCTGGGGGAAAAGGGTTCATCTTTCAACTCTTCAGATTTTTCTGACTTTTGGCAATTAAAGATTTTCTAATGAGTTTCCATGTTGTGTTGATCTTTGAATTGTTGTGGCTCTAGGTATAGTTTTGTAATGTGTTATTAAAGGAGGCTGAATCTAGGGGATACAAATAATGCTGATTCCTTACTTTGTCGTGAGTCTGAAAGTGTTGATAATGAAGTTTGTGTTCCTTTTAGTTTGTTTGATTTTTTTTTGGTTTGTTTGTTTGTTTAAAGTAGGATTAAACGGCTGCACAGAAAGCTCTCTTAATCTTGAGTAGCCCCGTAATTGATTGTTATGTTGGAGATGCATCTGAATGAAGGATTTGAATTAATCTGCTCTTCATTTGCTTTATTCCGTTTTGAAGTTATCTGTTACGTGCCTCAAAGCCTCTCTACTGAATCTCTGAAATGTGCCCAACACACCTGCATCGTATGGTTTTGCATCCATGGGCAGCGTTCTCCTTCTTCTTGTAGCAAGCATTCCGTTTGCCTTTCATCTTCCACCAAGCGGGAGGACACATTTCTGAGCTCTGATGCTTAATAGCAGGCACTTTCAAGGGTGGGGAGTGCAAGAATGATGCCAAGCTGTGGGGTGTGGTGACAGGCCCAAGGGATGGGATGCCATCCAGAGGGACCCAGACAGGCTGAGCAGTGGGCCCAGGAGAACCTCATGGGGTTCAACAAAGCCAAGTGCAAGGTGTGCACCTGGGTCGAGGCAACCCTCATTACCAGTACAGACTGGGGGATGAAAGGATTGAGAGCAGCCCTGCCAAAAAGGTCCTGGAGATACTGGTGGGTGGCTGCTGGACATGAGCCAGCACTGTGCAATCGCTGAGCTGTTGGAGTGTGTCCAGAAGAGGGCCACAAAAATGCTCTAAGGGATGGAACACCTCTGTGTGAGGACAGGCTGAGAGCTGGGGCTGTGCAGCATGGAGAAGAGAAGGCTGTGGGGAGAGCTGAGCCTCTCAGCATCTAAAGGGAAGCAACAGGAAAGAAGGGGACAAACTTTTTAGCAGTGTCTGTTGAGGTAGGACAAGGGGAAATGGCTTCAAGCTTAAAGAGGAGGGAAGATTTAGGTTGGAAATAAGGAAGAAGTTGTACAGTGAGGATGGTGAGGCACTGGCACAAGTTGCCCAGAGATGTAGTGGGTGCCCCATCCCTGGAGACATTCAGGCTGAACCAGGCCCTATGCAACCTGATCTACCTGCGTATGTCCCTGTTGATTGCAGGAGAGTTGGACTAGATGGCCTTTAGTTGTTCCTTCCAACTCTGTGATTCCAAGGAAAATATTCTTGTAATTCTGGAATTCTACTTCCTCTATCTGAAATCTTTTTTGTCAGCTGGGAGAATTAGTGAGCTCTCTGTCTCCAATGAATCATACCAGCTTATCTTCAGAGTAATGATGGCTCACTGGAAAGCTGTGATGTGCTTTTTTTTTCTTCTTTTTACTCTGCATGCACGCTTGTTCACACATGGTTTTATTTTTGGAGCAGGCAGACTAGATGCCTCTCATGGGGAATGCAGGCAAAACCACTACGATGGTTGGTGCGTGGGCCTGAGGACAGATGGCTCAGTGCAGGATCACTCTGAGCGTGGGTACAGAATGGTCTGCTCACATTTAAGTGGTCAAAGCTAACTTTTTGGTTAAAGGTCGAGGGTTTTTTTGGTTTTGGAGCTTATCTAGGACCAAGCTGATGAGCGTACATCTAAGTACTGAGAATACAGCAATTAATGCAGCATAAACACCAGGGATTTTTTGAGCGGTAAGTAGGAGATAGGGTAATTAACTGCAGAAATGTTCTATGTGGTATTTAGGAATTCATTTACTTCTAATTATGGTGCGAGACACATGCTGAAGTTACTGCAGAAGCCAGTGATGTAAACAGCATTTTTCTTCTGCCCGGGTGTTACTGAACCCCTTGATGAATTGGTTTCACATCTATTTAAGGCTGATTTTAGTAGGTTTTGTTTCCCAAGATTCCCTTTTGAGTCATGGATATGTGCAGGAAAAAGCCTTTTGTTTGGAGTATTTTTTTTGTTGTTGTTTTTGTAGTATAGCTCAGAGTATATCTGCTGGTTGGTCTTTATTGGTGAATAAGTTTCATTTCTTACAGTCAAAATGGCTTTTTCCTGTAGTAAAAGACTGAGTAAATATGCACTTTGCTTTTGCTTGCTTTTAATGGTGTGAGAAGAGAATAAGAAAAGAAACAAAATTCGCCCAAATCAAAGCCAAAGCAAAACTCTTTCACCATTACAAAGATGGAAAATGGTGGTATATTTTGTTTTAGGATAAAGTTTATAGTACTTCAGCATGAAAATTGGCTAGTTTGTTGGTGCTTTAGCTTGGGATTCTCTTTCTACTTCAGTAATTCTATTTTCCAGTGCCTATCAGGAGATCCTCAGGCAGCCACCTGGAAAGTCAGGCTGCGCATGGTCTAGTCCAGGTGCTTTCTGTAGAGCATCTTCCTGGGCTGAAAGCAAGATGAAGGTAGTCCATGCTGATTATAATGAGTTTGTATCCATTTTAAGGACTCACAGCCTTCATCCCCAGAGCAGGAAGTTTTTGTTGCATGTAGAGCCTTACCAACGGGCCTTGCAGCTTGGGTGATTGCCAGAGCTTGGCTGGGCAAAGTCAGACCTCTCTCATTACTAAATGTTGACTAGCTGGTGAAATTTTTGGTTTCAGGGATTCAGTATTTAGCTAAAATTGTGTCCCAAGGAGAGCCTGAGGAGTCAGAATCCCAACAGTGGTCAGTCCATTGTCTGGAGGGAAAGACAAAGAGCTTTTCGTGTGGGAGGCTTGGGAGGGCAGCAAACTTTCTGTAGGTAAGAGGCTTCAGTCTTGTGAAGAGGCAGGGAAGAAGTCAAACGTTTCATTTGTTGTTTTTCTTTTCTTAAATTGTGATCATTTTCTGATTCTGTGTCTTACAACTTTGTTGCCATTTACAAAACCTTTTGCAGATCCAGAAGAGCCCCAGAGCTTGGTCTTCGTGAGGCAGCCGTCTTCACTTACTAAAGTTACTGGGCAAAACGTGGTGTTTCCATGTGTTGCTGGAGGATTTCCAACTCCGTATGTCAGATGGACAAAAAATGGAGAAGAGCTAATCACAGAAGAGTGAGTAATGACTAATATAAACACATGCATGCCATAGTAGGAATGTAGAAACTGAGCCAGAATTGTGATTTTGTTTCAGTGCATATTTTGCTTTCTACTTAATTTTAAACCAGCAAAACAGATGCAAGTTTTCAAGTGCTGAGGAGTTTTTGGGCTGAGTGCTATGACAAAGTGTTTTGTGAGATTTGTAGAACAGTGTCACGGTACTTACTTTACAGATATCTGAAAGCAAGAAATCTTATTTGAAGCAGGAAGGTTATTAAGAATAAATTACTTTTTGATTGCCATTGGAGTCAGAGAAGCAATTACAGGGGATGAGGACACGGCAGAAAATCCAAGGTGTCTTCATCGTGGCATATTATTTCTGTGGAGATACACGTACTCACATTACTCTTTCTGTGATGAGATGTCCACTGTGCATCTACCTTTTTTCTTAAGAACTTACTCTTAAGTGTTGAAAGCAGAATCTCATAATTTCACATTAAAACAGACTATTACAGTTAGTTGCTATTTACAAGAAGAGTGTAGGCTTGCAAGATTGCATTAAGTGAAAACTACTACGTATGATCACTGCTTTGTGTATTCATTCAAAACTACATGGGCAAAAAAATATACATATTTAAAAAGCAGAATAAATCCTACCAAGAGGGAGAAAATGAGAAGCAGGTAGTTGGATGTTCTCTGTCATCCGAAGATGGTGGTGAGATTGATGTAAAAGCAACTGAGCCATGAAGCTGTGGCATGGCTACGCCAGGAAGAAGCTCAAGGAACGTACAGGTCGTTACGTAGCACCAGAGGCAGCAGTATACATCTTTTTTTTTGTCAACTCTTAAATTAGAAAATGTAGAGGCTTATAATTTGAGCAGTGTTTATCTGGAAAATGCAAGCCGCTGTGAGTAATGGCGAATGGTTCTAATATTTCTGAGAAATTGAATCGATGTCAGTCTGGTGGCACATGATTTTATTTGATTCATTTTTGTAAATATAAGAAATCATTTCCATAGAAAGGATGGTTCCCACTCATTAGAATTGCACAATTGAATGTGATGAAATGTCAGAGTAAGTATGCCTGGTAAGATCTTAATTTGTTTTTCTCGTGACATAACATCATTTTATGTATATCCTTACAAATGCTTGCTGCCTGCCCCCTCCGCTGCCCGTCCTTCTGTAGGTTATGGCACATTCAATGCACGAGGAAGGTGAAACTCACAAACTGAAGAGCTCTCCTTTTATTTTCTTCTCACTTCTTTGACTTAGAACCAAAACTTCCAAATCCCACTGTGGATACAGCCGTAATTCCCTGAGGAGTTTTTCTGTGCGGATGGTTGTGGTAACCTCAGAGGCTTTCCCAAGTGCTTAATTTCCTTTCAAAACTTAGTGAGGAATGTTACAACTTATGAGCAGAGGTGCAACATTGATAAATGCATTTGATGCTAAATTATGCCCAATTTGAGTCAAGCACGACGTGACTTTTCAGAATATTTAGTTTCTTCTTTTTTTGCATCTCTTGTTGCAAGCGTGGTTTCCAGTTGACATTCGCTTCGCTGCAGGTAAAAATCCCTCTATAAGCCATGCACCAAGTTCTTGGTATGGGTGGTCAAGATCTTTCACAGCATCCTCCCATCGCCACACGGATGCTGTCTGATAAGGCAGAAGCAGGAGCCACAAGAGCAGCAATTCCTCAAACACAGTTTTACTAAACACTTGTCTGCTCCTGTAACAACTGAGCTGCACAAGCTCCCTGACAAGCCCCAGTCACAGACCTGCAGCATGCTCCATCAGCGAGTTAATGTGTCTCACAGGGAAAGCCTCTCACTCAGCTGAGAAGATGCAGGTGCCTGTGTGTTTGGAACCTGTTGGGTGCCGCATCCTCTGGATCTGTGTTCATTAGGCATGGAAAGACAAGGAAAGATTCCTCTTTAATTTGAAGCAGGTGTTTCTCTTCTGTTCAAGATTGGTACAGAAAGGAGTAAGGAAGAGTTCTGAACACTGAAAACTACAGTGGATTTAACTGATCTGTGCTGCAGAGCCTTTCTGGTCTGCCCGAATATGAGTGAGTGAAGCTGCCTTGCTTTGCTGGTGTTACAGAGCTATAGGAAGAAGCATGCTTCCAAGTTCATTAGGAGTTTCTGCACAGCCTGATCACAGAGCCTGCTACTTGTGCTTCTGCCTCAACAGAGGAGTGATTCAAACGGTGGCCAGCAAGAGTTCTTGAATTCCATTTTCCTTGATGGCTGTCCTGTTAATAGTTTGAATAGAGGAACTGAAAAAGCTTTTGAAGTACCAATAAAGATTTATTTTTGTTGGAGTAAAGCCTGTAGTTAGACTGGGTGCCTTAACTTGTTAGCATATTCTGTTAATTTAGTAACAAATCATATTTAATTTGCGTTAAAGCCCCTTTTATGTAAACAAAGTTTTTCTTATAAACGTGTATCTTCTTTATCCTAAGGAGAAAAAAAAAAAAGACCTCTCTCATGTGAACAGGCTTCAAGGCACCTTCTGCCTTCCAGAAGCTCTTAAATCATCTTTTGTCTATACACACACAATAGAGACGTAAATGTACACGTGTACATTTATGTTTATGCACATGCCTGTGAAATCAAGAAACAAAACTCAGCATGGTTAGGGAGCTTCCTATATTTTTTTTCTTTTTTATTCCTTGGTAAATAGGTTAGGCACAACACTGTGTTTGGTACTTTAGTCTTTTGGCTGTGGCAATTCAGGTAATACGAAACTAAGCATTTTATCACAAAGCTGTAGTTGTAACGAGAATCTGTGCAGAAACTTGTGTTCTAAGGAAAACAGATTGTCATAAAGGATTTACAATGCTTTTGACTTTTGGAAGTAAATATCTAAGACCAGAAAAAAGGAAGGTGTTTAATTTTGATGGAGTATCTGCCAAAGACTGCAGCAAGATTTATGTTAATGGACAAATATGAATAAACTTTAATGATGGCAGTGTTGACACTCACTCAAACAGGCAGCCTATAATGTGATGTATTGTGAAACCAGTTCACTGTGATAAAATATTTTCCAAAGTAACTTGAATGAGAAGGAAGGAAGCATTGAGTGTTGGATGAAAAGTAGATATATTTAATGCAATGCCAACAGTTTGTATTGTTGTAAAACTATCTATGAGGAGTCCTTCCAGAATGTGTAAATGGAAAGATTTTAAGGAAATGAGTGATGGTTGGGCTGCTGACTTTCTGGTAACTCATTGCTTAACCCAGAGAAGTCCATGAGAGACTGAACTGGCCAAGAGGTGGGGAAGGCTGTTCTTTAGAAGCTGAAGGGACTCTAAGTGCTTTGCACCATTGTGTCGTTGCTGTTTGATGCTTTGGAGAAGGAGGATACGTCACCATACAGAGCCTTGGTCTATTCCTTCAAGGTCTGTGCTAATGCATTCAGAATTTTAGACATAAAAATTGCTAGAAATCATGTTGAAAATTCCTAATGACCTGTCATTGGGAAAGCAAACTTGAATACAGAAAGTTCCATACCAACGTGCAGAAGAACTTCTTTATGGTAAGGGTGGTGGAGCACTGGATCAGGTCCTTCTGTGGAGATACTCAAGATCCATCTGGGCACCCATCTGTGTGACCTGTTGTAGGGAGCTGCTTTAGCAGGGGGTTGGATTCAGTGATCTCTTGAGGGCCCTTCCAACCCCTACAATTCGGAGACCCTGTGAGAGCTTTCCATTGAATTGATTTACTAGCCGTGTCAATAAACTTGAGATTGAAGACTTTTTTGCAAAACTGCATGGTGAGAAAGGGGAAGAAAAGATTGAACCCCATTCTATGTAAACGTATGGTGCTGGTCCTTATAGCTGGTCCTTATAGCTTATTTGAAGTGGAGATTCAAAATATGGAGCAACCCCCTGGACTCAGACCAAAGCAGATGAAATCAACCCTGCTGTGAATTTGCATGGCTATAAACTTATTATACAGAGGGTGTTTAGTTTAGGATCGGCATATATAATGCACACCTGCTCTGTCATACATATGCAGCCATTTCAATGTGGATTCTACCTTTTCGGCTGTATTTCCTCTGTAAACTCAGAACAAGTAGTGTCTCTGCCAGAAGGAGGCTGTCTTTACAGGAAGCTCTTCATTTATTTGTTTGTTTTTAAATAAGTGCAATCCTCTACATTGCCAACTTAATCTGATACCAAAGGCTGTAGAGGAGGTGTTGGATGAAGTCTTGGATTTTGCCAACTCTCTGACCTTTTTGTCTAAGGGTCCTGCTGTGTCAGAGTCTGTTGGTTAGTAAGTGCAGGAGGGATTCTCTGCTTTCATAATGCTGAGGTTGGGAAGTGAGGTTTTTCTGCAGTGGTTACTGAGGTGATTTTCACATTCTGGGATATGACTGCTGACTTTCAAATATTCTAGTGCTTTTTGGCTTGGAAGCCTTTGCACAATGTGTGGATTTGCTTTCTGCAAGTGTGTGCTTGAACAGCACATCTTTCTCAACTCAGTTTGTATCTGGACGTATATATGGCACGAAATACAGATCACAAGAAATGTTTATTAAAAGAAAAAGCTACCATAAATGAGGTGGCAGATCTGAAAACAAACAATTGAAAGGACCCAGGGCAATGTTATATTTTATTAAGGCTGTTGAAATACAGCAAATGTTAGGGCTGCTCAGCTTAGCTAAATGTTCTAAGCAAACGAAGTGCCTGCAGAAAGCTGTAACCTTGTTGTATAGTTAATCATTCCTAAAGTAAGGAAGTGGCAAAGCAAGGGGTTGCACGTGCAGCATTAATTCCAGGCTGTTGTTCTATGTGTTACAGTCTTCAGTGGTGTGAACACATTTCTTCCTCAAGACTCTACATGAATGTGTGATTTTTCTTATTTATTTTTTTAATAATTGTTTGCCAGGAGCTCCGAGTGATTTGTTCTGAGCGAATTACATTTGCTCAACTCGGCGAAGGTTAAACACAGCAGAGTAATTATGGAGATTTTTCCGGTGGTAGATCCCACAAAATAATCTAATTCCCTGTCTAATTTTATCAGCTGTACTTCACCACGATTGCAAAGAGATTGTGAGATGTTTTGGGCACGGTATTTTATAAAGGAGAAAAAAGCCCAAACCTCAGGCTATAACTGACTGCAGTGTTTTAATAAAGCCTTTCCATATTGCGTGATAATGAAATGCCGAATTCACGCACTGTTCTTGTATCCAGAGTAGCTCAAGGAATCGTGTATTACAGAAGTGTGTGACGTCGTGACTGAAGGCTGTATGGAGTACGTACAGCAGGCTTGGATTTCATTTTGCTCTTCTTTGATATTTGAATGATCTCTCGTTGTTTTTAATGTCACTTCAAGTTACGTTATGCTTCTGTATGGAGCCGATTCTTTGTCTCTGGCGTCAGAAATCTGATTGCTTCAGCCTTTTGTGGAAGTGCCTCACCATCCTGCAAAATTAAGACTTGAATATTGTTTTTACTTTATTACAAGAGCAGTTTTGCTTTAAGCCTGGAAATATTCCACCTCATAATGCATGCTAATGCATGCAAATGGAGTCATCAAGTAGTCTGACAATTTTTTCTTCCGTGTTTTTAACAGCAGTGAACCTGGATCCCATATTGGTAGACTGAACAGTCTCTTAGGTTTTCTTGATGAAAATAATCAAGTGGAATATTTTCTTTTAAAAGAGTAGCTTGTCTGAAGGTGGCTGGGAGCTCTATAGCCTTATTTCTTGCCAGAGGAGAGCACATGTTGAGGAAAGCTTAGAAGCTTTTCCAGTAGATGTGCAGGGATGCTAATTTAGGTATTGTGCTGCTCAGCTTCATTACAGTGCAGAATCGTGGAAAACTGGTCCTCTGAAGTAGAAACTTTTTGTTTTGGTCAAGTGCAACACTTACTGGGTCGTGCAAACACCACTTGAAGCAGGCAGTGGTGATTGAGATCTTTGAGAAAGTATTTTGTTGCCCAACGTGACAACTTCTAGCAATTTTTAATTGTTTTAGTAACATCTTAATTGCTGGTTGATCTATAATGGCTCATTAGTCTGTTGTCTCACCGTATGCATGTCACTGCACTTGTTGGAGGTTGGCTGTGAGGAGAGTCAGCACTGCAGAGGCACTGTGTGACCCAGCTGCTGTTGTTAGGTTGCTTTCAGCGCAGCCTTGGCCTGTCTAGCACTGTTTCCAAAATTAAGCTGTAGTGGTATTTTCTGTTCGCCTTAATGAAAGCCCGGCTGTGTTTCTGGGCTCTCAATGTCCAGGTGCAGACAGAGCTTCAAGAATTGGGGAGAACATCATTTTCTTAAACTGCGGGTGAACAGATTTGCCTTGCAGTCATTGCAGGCTGAGGCTCTTGGGTTCGCTTTCATTGCATGTGCTAATTGCAGGAGGTCGGTGTGGTTTGATTCTAGTGAATGTACCTGGGCAGATTCAATAAACAAAGGCAGTGATAGAAGGGAGAGAGGGAAGGTGCTACCAGCCTGACAGCTTCTCTGCACAGCTCCTTTGTACAGATTTTTCTTGCTCAAGGTAGTTAAGGAGGATTTTTCGCTGTCTTCAATTACCTCTAAAGCACTTTTTTTTACATACTAATCCCTCCTCTGGCCCATGATAAGCAGCTTCTGCCTCTTTCTGGCTGCAGCAACAAAAACAAATGGATCTAAATAGATACCATCTCCTTACTTTCTGTCCTTGAGCGGCTCCAAAACTAGTTTCATGACGGTGTTTCTGCTGTTTTCCTCATAGCTAGGACCTGCTGGCAGTGCCATCCACGTGTTCTTCAGACATTCCTCTTCTAAGCTCCTGATTTGTTTTTTTTTTGCACTCGAATTGCCTAAAATTCTTGAAGAACAAACTTTCTGAAGTCCTTTCAAACACTTGGCCCTTCTCCTCCTGTTCTTAGGTGATGGAAGTGACATCCCTTGCCTTTTGGTGTGCCCAAATAGGAAATCTTCGTGGGCACTTTGGAGGCTCTTAAGGAAGAGTGAAGGAACACTTAATTCCAATAAGGATTTTTTTTCTTTGGTTTTAAAATTTAGCGTATCAGAACTTGGATCAACAAATTAAAGTAATGTCGTAAATCAGTATTAGAGTGACTCGAAAGCTTTTGTGTCCTGATACTTTAGCTTACTGAATGGATGAGAGCGTTGGTTCTAGTAAGATAACTGTAGCATAATGTTTGGAGTCGAGGAAGCAGTTGAGTTGATATTTGTGCATTGGCTGCTCTGCAGAGACCAAAAAAGTCAACTGTGACCATGTGCTATGCAATGAATATCCTAAGATAACTCCATTTAACTCCATTCCCTCACATTGCAAAAAAAATTGTTTTCCAATGCTGGAGAGGAAACCATTAGATAGATTTTCTCTCTTTGTTTTCAGCTGCAAATAAGAATGATTTTGGATCAGGATTCGGTCACGATGTGTTGTCTCGTCTCTACTTTCTAACGGTGTTTTATTGAAGAGTAATGAAGGATTTTGGGAAAGGTCTTGTGCAAATTCAGATCACAGAAAGGAATGTGGTGGTTGCAGTGGGAGAACAACGTGGCTGAAGGCTGCATGAGAAGCATGTGGTTTGTGAGGGCTGGGCTACATGCTTTGTCCTGCATCCTTTAGGAGTCACACAGGGATTGATTCTGTATTGGAATTTAGTCAGCTTGTTAAATTTGTCATAATTATTTTAAAACTTGTATCTTATTCTGAATTCTTCTCAATCCCCAAGGTGGGTATTGCTGTACAAAACCTCAGTTGCTGTACGTTGTACAGTATGCATTCCTGTTCCTTGAGTCGTGCAGGTGTAACTCTGGCAAGCAGTAAGTCTGGCAACTCTTTCCAAGCAGTAAGTCATTACGTCTGCAAAGCATTTTTTATGATGTGATTGTTACTTTCTTTTCTCTTAAATTCTAGTCACTCCCCTGTGATTGTGGAATGGATATAGTTGAGCTTGGTTTAAAATCTGACGCCATAGCACGGAGTGCAACCGTGCAGTTAAATCTCATCTCTCTGAGAATGCTGTGTGTAAATGGCACCCAGAAACGTTATATCTACTCAGCCATTTCAGACAGAGGACTTGTACGTGCTTCTCTGTGGACACTCTGTGTAAATCCTTTTGCCCATCAGTTTCCCACTCTTGTCTTGTTCTGCACAGCTCCGAGAGGTTTGCGCTGCGTGCGGGGGGCAGCCTGCTCATCACTGATGTTACAGAGGAGGATGTTGGGACCTACACCTGCATAGCAGAGAACGAGAACGAGACGATTGAAGCTCAGACAGAGCTTGCAGTACAAGGTAGGAAGAATGGTTAATTTTCAGGGAGTGGATCTCCCGACTACTGTTCCTAAGGGCTTTATTTCTTATTTTCATGTTTTATCATTTCATAAAAATTCAAATGAGGGATTTGCTTATGTTACATGCATCTTGTACGGTTAAAAGCTGCTGTGTATCTTCATGCAATATGAAATGTGCTCGATGCGATATGCTCCAATAAAGAGGGAAAACGTCACAGCGTGCAGCTAATCATGTCTGAAAGTCTACCTGTAAAACTATTTGGGGTCTTCTACAAAAGGACATTACAGAAAGTATTTTTTAAAATTCTAAATATCCTGCTGCTTTCAAGGCAGAGATAATTATTTTGTAAGTCCTGGTTTTATTTTGTGTGTGTAATTGTCTTGCTTACTGATGGAAGCTGCTTTAAATAGAAGTAGCAGTGAATTGTTGATAATGCTGATTTAAAAACCTTTCATGTCACATGTGCAAATAAGGTTTTTTCCTTAATTGGAGCTTTATCTTGATTTAAGGTATTTCAGCTACCATTTAATTGTCACCTTGGTGACAACGTACAGTATCCTTGTAAGAGCTCAGTCGACTGGTTTTACAGGGGATTATGGCCCAAGCAAGTTTGTCTTAAAAACAAGTCTTGAAGGGATTAAAGATATACAAATAATCATGGAACAATGTCTAAGGAAGGCTTATCTATAGATAAAACCTTTTGTGGCAGAAATAAGATGTATTTCAGATTCTAATAGTGTGAAATGTAATGCAAAGGCATGCTCTTAGCAGAGTTCCTACTCTGCTCTCACCAGTGCATCAAAGCTTAAGAAATGTTACCATTTGTGGTATATTTACTGAATTTTTTGCATGTTTCACCTGGTGTCCAGGAAGAGGGCTGTGTTTCTGGTGTAGAACTGAGGAAGGTTAGACTGGGAGACGAAAAGCGTGTAAATGAAGAAGCAGCAAGCTTTTAGAAGAAGTTGGCCATTACTGAGCAGCTGAAGTCCCTCTTAGGAGGGCAGAGTATAACATAAGGCTTTCATTGGTATCTGCAGCATGCTTATTTCAGAATCACAGAATGGCCAGGGTTGGAAGGGACCTCAAGGACCATGAATCTCCAACCTCCCTGCCACATGCAGGGCCACCAACCTCCACGTTGAATGCTAAACCAGGCTGCCCAGGGCCCCATCCAACCTGGCTTTGAACACCTCCAAGTATGGGGCATCCACAACCTCTCTGGGCAGCTGTTCCAGCACCTCACCACTCTCATATATTATCCTGTAGCTGTATTTCATGCTGTCCAGTTCTGTGCAAATCAAAACGTGACCAAGGTGCTGCACTTGCTGATGAGGGAGCGCTCTCCTGAGCACGCATTGTGCTCTCTCTGCATTCTCAACCCCTGTCCCCCTTAACTTTGGCTTCACCTTGTGTTTTTCTGCTGACTGCTTTGGGGACTGGCTTCCTGAGCATCTCTTCAGCCTCACATAGGCTGCTGGTGCAGAGGCATTTTATTTAGCTCTGCCCTTTGCTAAAGCTTGGGGAAGTCTATTTGGTGAGGGCTGTCAAAGTGCAGCATTGCCCTAATTTGACTTGAAGAGTTTTGAAAGCCAGCAAATTCAGGTCATGCAGCAAGCACCATTTTTCTTATCTCAGTTTTTGGGCTGGAAGAATGCAGATAGGCACTGTCTTAAATACTTAAGGGCTTGATGATTCATTGCACTTTATGATAGTTTAATGCAACTCGTAGTGTGCTGTTTAATTCAGTTCCAAATTATCTATTTTATGGCATTGGCTTTCAGTTTTATGGGCAGTGGCAGAAATTAATATTATTAATGGTATGATACAATTAAGAAAGGAAATCAAAGATAACGCTGAGATTATAGTCTTAATGTAGACTATACAGCCAGGTCACTTGGGGATGAAAGTGGTCTTGAGATCACTCTTAGCTACTTAGCTAAACTAATGTGATTTCTTTTTTCCACTGCAACAATTTAGAATATGTTCTGCCAATTCTTTTATGCTGGTTTTTTTTTTTTTTGTACATCTGGCACACAAAAAAAATCTTTTAATGCCTCAGAATTAAAATATATTGAAGATTATACAGATGCATTTTGGAAGTTGGATTTCTGGTTTTATTTCTTAGTTCTAATCTCACTTAATTCCACTTTCCTTGGAGAGGTCACCAGAGTGTAATTGTATTTCTCCATTACTATAATTTGCTGAAGGATTTGAGTAACTGTTACCTGATCGTTGTATCATTTTCTTCTAGAATGGAAAAATCGTCTTCTACCACCTACTAATGACATGATTTTGCTTAATTTAGGCTTATTCTGTCACTCTTAGGGATAAGGCTGACAGGAATTCATATAAAAAATCCAGGCTTTTGGTATCTGATCCTTTTCTCATCTATTTTTCTGCATCTTTTGAAGCATGTGGCTTGTTTTTGGGGGAGATTTCAGAAGTATACTAGTATTACTTTGCTACTGCAGTCAATCTTTTCTTTTTTTTCCTCTTAATATTTCACAGTGGCAATTCAGTGAGTCATTTGTAAATCTCTACGTAAGTGTGGCATTATTTGACAGCATTAGGAGGGCTGGAGTGAACTGGCGTTCGCTTTGGTGACTCTCAACTGAGGTTAGAAACTACCCATTTTATCTAGAAGCAAGCCTAAATTGTGCGTGGAGTAAAGAGCACTCACTAATTATTGCTTTGTTCCAAGACCACCTTTTCTCCATCCCTTAATAAGGATACAAAGGCCTGGAAGGTCACATGCTTAATTCCACCATGCAACCCCAGCAGCAGCAAGCTGCCCTGCATCTCTGCTGTCAACTGCTGCCATGCATCCTCGCTCTTCCAGGGCTGTAAGGACACAGTCACTGCCCTTTGTTGTTTTTGGTAGGGTACCTTGATGCATCTCACGTGTGAGTGTGTGGTGCGCTCAGCTAGAAAGGAATAGGTAAATTCAGCTGTTCTTCCCAAGGTAGATGAGAGATAATTGAAGGCAGCTTATTTCTAACTGCATAAAAATATATCAAGTGCTCAGCCCTCCAAGGTAATGTCTTTCTGTTAAATTTGGAACCGTTTTGAATTCATCTAAATGTTACCTTCGTGTGGCAAAACTTAGTCAGTTCACATTGCTGACACTGAAGGATGCCATCTGTTTCACATCCTTGGAGGCAGTCTTTTGAACAGTCTATTCTGTGTAATTTAGAGGGGGAAAAAAAAGGTGTTAGAAGGAGTCTCATATTGCCCAGATACTTGGTATTAAAAAAATATGTGGTTTAGGTTCTTAATGCATATTGTGGACTGAATCTGGAAAAATCTGGCTTTGACTGGAAAGGATTACACCAATTAATTGGAAGGGTTTTAAGGGTTGAGGAGTGTTCTAAGGATTTGTTTTCTCTGTCCTCTTATCTACAAAATGTATCTGGGAGCTGGAGTTAGGAGTTCAGAACACTAAAACCCAAAGTATGTCCTGGAAGATGATGGGTTTTAGTCTAAGTTCTACTAACTGCATGGAATGAATTCAGTCCGTACTGCTGTGTGACACAAGCTGTTCCCCAATGAAGGTGGGCTCCATCTCTACTTCCCTCCTCCCCAAGACCTTTCAGTCATCTGCAGGCTCAGCTGCCTTTCGTGTGCCCTAGGGCACCTCTGTTAACTTAAACAGACGTTTCTGAGCGATTGGAGTTGATCAGTTCATTTTGACTGAAGCGGTTTAGGGAGCCCTTGGCTGTGGAGCTCAGTGGTGGATCAGATAGGTGATTTTCAGGTGTTTTACTTGAAAAGAGGAGGATGTGCCTCAAAGCAGACTCACAGTGCTGCTCTGCTCCAAATAGCTGCAGCAAATAGGGTTGTGGTTACACGTATGCAAATCAAGATTTCACGTCGTGCACCACGCTGTAGACTTCATGTTCAGGGAGTGCTTTGAAGCTGGAAGAACACATTAAATGTCCTGAGGTTGAGGCGATGTCTGTGGTCGAGATGATCCTAACTCCTCAAGTTTAGCATTGCTGAATCCTGTCCGTGTTTGAGACGGTCGTTAGGGCAAAACGTGCAACAGGTAAGGTGTGTGTGGCACCCCGTTCTTGCTCATTTTACTTAATCTTTGGTGCAAAATGTCTTGGGCCCGGTACCTTGCAGATCCCATTGCCAGGTGAGGTTGTTTCCCATTCAGGAGGCAATAACTCAGTGTCTGAAAGCCTTTGGTACCAACTCCTGTTTCAGTTGTTGACAGCGCTCTTCCCCTTCCTGTCAGCAGGAGGAGTGGCACTGGGACCCCATTTATTGATGACACGTGAGTTGAGAGCGCTGGAAAAATGTGTTTTGTGCTCACCGGTAATGAAAGAATCTGTAGCATTTCCCTCAGATAAGGGTGGGAAGTGTTGAAAGGGAAGCTGGGGAAACAAGCGGTAAATGTATTGAAATGCAGTCGGCTGGCTTCTGTTCTGCCTGAAACCTGCGGCCTGCAGAGCCGTGGCTGTAAATACTGAGGAGGTTAGAAGTTCATTCTTCATCTGAGAAATATTTCACGTTTATTACAGTGTCCAGAGCCCCTGGGATTTCTGCGCATAGCGTGGCGCAGGTTAGATCACTGTGCGAGCTTCCTGCCGCCCGTCTTGGTGCTTGTGTTGTAGGTAATGAGCTCAGAGGGAGTTCTCTCTCTGTGCTGAAATATTTACTGCTGCTAATACTGAACCACAAAATAATAAAACAAACAAACAAGAAAAAGATTCCATTTCCATTTTTTTCCTTAGAAAATTGATATGGCGGGGATGAGGTCTTCAAAATAAACAGCTTTGTACTTCCCACTTGTGTGAGATTTAGAATTGCTCTTTTTTTTGTCTGTATTGTTACCTTTCGGTGATGTTTGCAGTTGCAGAAAGCTGGCTCTTGGGTCCTCTAGGGCAGCATGCAGTGTCTGATAACGCATCTTAATTACCGTAAATTAAACGCCTCACTGTGTCGATGTACCCAAATTAAAGATCATAGTGAGTAGTTATTTTAGTGGTACATTG